CTGCCTATTGAAGAAAAACTAAAACTTACTTTACTTGTTGTACAGTTCTTAAACACCAGCTTAGAAGTATATATAACCCTAAATTAATTATAGCCAAAACACAAAATATGTATGGAGATCATCAAAATAAGATTATTATTCCTAAATTAATTGATAAACTACCTAAAATTTTAAAGGAAGATGTAAATCCTAAAAATACACATTTTAAAAACATACTTTATGAATCAACTAACATAATAACTAATTTAAAACTAAAAACGAATACTATATACTAATATATATGTACACTATTTGTAATATAATTACTATATTTATATTTCAAAAATATAAAATAATGTTTCCTCCGAACATTCTGTATACCTACTACTCTAACCAGACCTTCACGACAACTCATCCTCGTGTTATTGTCATAGAAGCGAGCGAATTACCTTCTTACTCTAAACAATATTAAAATGCTTACGCTCGAAAGGCGGCGAACTGCAGTGTGCAGAAAAATCTAATGTAAGTTTATGTTGCACTGTACTTATGAACTGTGTATAACATGTATTATTGTTGTTGTATAATAAAAATAAAAATAAAAAAGTTTACCTGCGGGGAGCTTGCTGAGTCCGCTGTTGGAGCTTGGTAGGAAGGGCCTGGAGATCTTTTGGTTGGGTGATGGAGTTCCAATGTTTTAATTTCAAGTGTCTCCATGAACTGAGCGATGCTTGCTGTCACATGGTTGATTTGCTTGGTGAGATCACGATGGAATGTCTGGTCCATTTTAGACTGATCTGCCATCCGTTTGGTTGTTACTTTTAATTCATCGGTCACCTGCCCCAATGAAAGGAGGTTGTTATGGATTGTTTTCGCATGCTGGAGTTGGTAAACTTGCAACATCCCTTCGATACAGCTCAGAAGAGCGTTGTAGCTTCTGAGAGATGCCTGTATGAGTGGTTCCTTGATGAAGGTCCAATCTCCTCCGCATTATTATCCCTTTATATTATCCCTTTATTTTATTATTTATTTTATTATATTATCCCTTTACGAGGCTCTGGCGAATCGATAATACAATACGGATTTAATAGTTATGGTAGAACCTGGAAATCGCATCTTTATAGTATCCATGAATTACAGCTTAGAATCATCAAAACAATTGTCCCCCCTAAAATCAAACAACAATACCTTATATTGTTTTCCCTAACAAGTTATATAAATTCAGCGGTATTCTGCCTATTGAAGAAAAACTAAAACTTACTTTACTTGTTGTACAGTTCTTAAACACCAGCTTAGAAGTATATATAACCCTAAATTAATTATAGCCAAAACACAAAATATGTATGGAGATCATCAAAATAAGATTATTATTCCTAAATTAATTGATAAACTACCTAAAATTTTAAAGGAAGATGTAAATCCTAAAAATACACATTTTAAAAACATACTTTATGAATCAACTAACATAATAACTAATTTAAAACTAAAAACGAATACTATATACTAATATATATGTACACTATTTGTAATATAATTACTATATTTATATTTCAAAAATATAAAATAATGTTTCCTCCGAACATTCTGTATACCTACTACTCTAACCAGACCTTCACGACAACTCATCCTCGTGTTATTGTCATAGAAGCGAGCGAATTACCTTCTTACTCTAAACAATATTAAAATGCTTACGCTCGAAAGGCGGCGAACTGCAGTGTGCAGAAAAATATAATGTAAGTTTATGTTGCACTGTACTAATGAACTGTGTATAACATGTATTATTGTTGTTGTATAATAAAAATAAAAATAAAAAAGTTTACCTGCGGGGAGCTTGCTGAGTCCGCTGTTGGAGCTTGGTTTTTTTTTTTTTTTTTTTTTTTTATAGGATCGGGTGACAAACGAGCACACAGTCCACCTGATGGTAAGTGGTTACTGTGACCCATAGACATCTACATCTATCCTCAATAAAGACTCAAGATGCAGATGCGTTGTCACCCGTGAGGACTAAGATGGAATGCCTCTTTGCCAGTAAAAAGGGTCTCCGGTTCTCTACACTCACCATACGAAACACAGCAGCGTTAAGCTGCTATTTTACGCTGGTTTTCTGTGAGAGCGTGGTCCTTCCCCGGTCGAGCCGACCCATTCGTGCTACAACCATAATATAGCTGCAGCATGGCTCTACCACGTATTAATTATTATTATGGTAGGAAGGGCCTGGAGATCTTTTGGTTGGGTGATGGAGTTCCAATGTTTTAATTTCAAGTGTCTCCATGAACTGAGCGATGCTTGCTGTCACATGGTTGATTTGCTTGGTGAGATCACGATGGAATGTCTGGTCCATTTTAGACTGATCTGCCATCCGTTTGGTTGTTACTTTTAATTCATCGGTCACCTGCCCCAATGAAAGGAGGTTGTTATGGATTGTTTTCGCATGCTGGAGTTGGTAAACTTGCAACATCCCTTCGATACAGCTCAGAAGAGCGTTGTAGCTTCTGAGAGATGCCTGTATGAGTGGTTCCTTGATGAAGGTCCAATCTCCTCCGCATTATTATCCCTTTATATTATCCCTTTATTTTATTATTTATTTTATTATATTATCCCTTTACGAGGCTCTGGCGAATCGATAATACAATACGGATTTAATAGTTATGGTAGAACCTGGAAATCGCATCTTTATAGTATCCATGAATTACAGCTTAGAATCATCAAAACAATTGTCCCCCCTAAAATCAAACAACAATACCTTATATTATTTTCCCTAACAAGTTATATAAATTCAGCGGTATTCTGCCTATTGAAGAAAAACTAAAACTTACTTTACTTGTTGTACAGTTCTTAAACACCAGCTTAGAAGTATATATAACCCTAAATTAATTATAGCCAAAACACAAAATATGTATGGAGATCATCAAAATAAGATTATTATTCCTAAATTAATTGATAAACTACCTAAAATTTTAAAGGAAGATGTAAATCCTAAAAATACACATTTTAAAAACATACTTTATGAATCAACTAACATAATAACTAATTTAAAACTAAAAACGAATACTATATACTAATATATATGTACACTATTTGTAATATAATTACTATATTTATATTTCAAAAATATAAAATAATGTTTCCTCCGAACATTCTGTAGGGTAAAGGTTGGCTTTATGGTGATAATAAGAAAAAAACTTAAAATTTTATTTCAAAATTAACATTTATTAGAAAACCTCTTTACTTATTACAATAATCAGACTTTTCTTTTCAATAATTATTAATCACAGCAACTTAAATTCTTAAACATTAATAGGAAAATCAGATCAAACAAATCTTTTTGGTGTTGGCAATATGGAAATACGGGGGCAATTTGGTGATACCATATGTGGCAATATGGTGACAAGTCTATTCAGGTGTGTACCGTTAGGGGTAGAGAATAGGTGGGTTCTTAAAACGCCAAGATTTGTTGTAATTATTTATTACTCTTACTTCCGCACACGTACAAGTAATTTCTTTGAAGGTGATCACTGGCCTGACGTAGGGGCGAAGTCCAAGCGCTTTTCCCCCGGGCCGTAGACAGCCAGCTGGCAGAAGAAGCCGGTGAATCACAAGCCCGACAGTGATGGTGGCCGTTGGTAGGAGGGTAGGCCAACACTCCGTTAGCTCGCGGCTCGGCAGCAGTAGCTCTTAGGTAGCAGGTAGATGCTAGGTGGTAGTAGATGTAGATCCTAGGCAGCCGTAGATCCCCAGCGGGATCAACTGCGCCTCGAATAATTTAGATTTTAATTGTAGGTAAGCAGGTTCAACGGTCGTTAGTAGGAGGGTCACGCGCGTTGCGAACTTGAAGCGGTCTCAGGTAGAAAATGAAAGAGGAATGGCCCGAACGGGGACTCGTCGTCGTGTCCGAATCCTACCGAGTCTTTTGTTTTAGAGATCGGTGAGCAAAATGGTTCACGCTGCGCGGATTAAATTAACTAGTTTAACAGTGTAACAGTGGTAGAGCCAGGCGGCAGCTTTTGCTGTCGCATAGATGGGCCGGCTCGAACCGGGGTGGTACCACGACCTCACAGAATACCAGCGTGAAGTAGAGGATTACCTCTGCGTTTCGCTTGGTGAGTGTAGGTGGCCGGAGGCCCTTTTTACTGGAAATGAGGCATTTCATCCTAGTCCTCACGGGTGACAACGCATCTATATTTTGATTCGCAAACGAGGATAAATGTAGATGTCTATGGGCCACAGCAACCACTTACCATCAGGTGGACTGTGTGCTCGTTTGTCACTCTATCCTATAAAAAAAAAATGGTTCCGTAGAATAACTATTTTAAATTAACAATATGTAATAGTTTATTACTTTTTATTTATAGATTAGAGTATTATATTACTATTATTATTTAAGATTTAAGATCAGTCAATTATAAGTATTTGTAAGGGTGCATTCAGATGTACCGTTACAGGTGCCCAATCACTGTCATCAGTGCCTGAAAAGTCTACTTTATCACAATTATCACACAGAAACTGTGGCGACTCTGTGCCAGTACATTCTTGGTGGTACCATTTGCCGCAGCTCATGCACTCTACCCATACAGCTCCGTTCCTAAGTGCCACATCTTGGGAGTAGTGAACACCGCAATAGTCACACATCGTACTTTTATTTGATTTTGGTGTTTTCTCTACCTTGACTCTTGGTAGTTTACGCTTCAGGTTGCTTTCAGTAGAAGGTCCAGGAGTTGGAGAAGCAGAGGGGACACGAATCGAGGTAACGGTCTCCTCACTGGTAACGGCGACTGTGGTTTCGTTTGATATGGCGACGATGTTTTCTTCAGGACTGTCCATGTTGTTCGTGCTTTGAGGTGTTAAATATCGGGCCTGTGGATTCCGCTTAGCTCGTCGGGTACTAGAAGAAGAAGACTGTGGTACCTCAGGAACGGAAAGTAAAGAGAAAACTGAAGGTGACGCAGTTTCACGATTGACAGCAGAAGCTTGGGCATTATCAGTGGAAGATTCAATATTCTGTGACTGTAGGTCACTTGGCTGCATCAATGATGGGGCATACTATCATCAGAAATGGCATTTCGATCAAATGGCGCAATGCCAGTTTTTCGAAAGCCGTTCATAATTATTGACGGCTGAAATGCATGCTCGTAGGCTGGTGTTAATAGGCGACAAAAGTCAAGCCTTGTTGGAGCACTCGTTGGATGTTGAAGCTTATAATTATTTAGCACTTTAGCCCATGCATTTTTCAGTGACTTGTAAACAGAAACGTCCAGAGGTTGCAGGAGATGGCTTGTGTGACTTGGAAAAGTGAATAGATGAATGCCATTTTTTGTAGCGAAATCTATAACATCTTGGCTGACATGGGTAGAGTGAGAATCCATGATTAAAAGTACCGGTCTAGCTGGTGGAATATGAGCTTCAAAATGATGCATCCACTCCAGAAATAGTTCAGAGTTAATCCATCCGTTTTTGGATAATCTCACGATAGACCCTTCCGGAGCACCATTCGCTAGATCATTGACCATTCGGACACCTTTAAAAATGATCAAGGGGGGTACAGACGCTCCGCTCGCACTACAGCACCCAAGCACCGTTTGTGTGACACCTTTCTCTGCAAAAGTTCTACTGTAAATTACTTTCTTTCCAGTTTGAGTGACAATTTTTGACGGTTTTACGACGAACGTTACACCGGTTTCGTCGCAGTTATAAATCCTTTCAGGCTTTTGCAGAATATCCAGCTCAATAACGACGTCCAGTAGCTTTTTATAAAAATCGTCAATGTTTTGTCTGTTAGCAGTAACAGCTCGGCATGCTGCAAGCTTTTCTGGCGTGCGCAATGAAAGCCCGTACCGTTCTTTAAACGACCACCACCAATAAGGCCCAGCTTTACGTTTAGCATCGTTAAACTGGTGATCTTTTCCTGCTTGGACTGCTAAAGCATAACATTTAGCTTTGATGTCTGTGACGCTGAGACCAAATCCTAGTTCTTGCATTTTAATTAGCTATGTGTCTTCTCAAAGTAGACCACGGTATGCCATATTCCTTCGACGCCTTGTACACTGACCAATTATCCTTTATAACTTTCATATAAGCCTCCTTGAAGCGTGAAGAGTCATAATTTCTGCGTTTCTCGCCCTTCATTTTCCTTTTATTTGCCTTTCCGGATTCTGTAATAAAAATCATCCACTACGTAAGACTATAACCCGGACTAATGAAACACAACCCGATATTTTTTTAACAGAAAGATACAACATTTCGAGCTTCATCTACCCTGAAAACCCCATTCAAATTAAGCTTGAAATAAAATAAAAATAAGCTATGTAATGTTTTTGGTAATTTGGTGATATTTACGTACCGATTATCCTCCATTTTTTCGCATATTTTGGCGCGAAACAAATAAACCGCGTCCGGTGAGGACAGCGACCAGCGGCCAAATGAAAGAGAGATGAACATACTCGCCTTCAGTTCATTGAATGAACGCAAAACTCGCGCTGGGCATTATAAAGACCGTTGAAAGCAAAATTATCACCATATTGCTATATATCACCATTTAGCCAACCTTTACCCTACTACTCTAACCAGACCTTCACGACAACTCATCCTCGTGTTATTGTCATAGAAGCGAGCGAATTACCTTCTTACTCTAAACAATATTAAAATGCTTACGCTCGAAAGGCGGCGAACTGCAGTGTGCAGAAAAATCTAATGTAAGTTTATGTTGCACTGTACTTATGAACTGTGTATAACATGTATTATTGTTGTTGTATAATAAAAATAAAAATAAAAAGTTTACCTGCGGGGAGCTTGCTGAGTCCGCTGTTGGAGCTTGGTAGGAAGGGCCTGGAGATCTTTTGGTTGGGTGATGGAGTTCCAATGTTTTAATTTCAAGTGTCTCCATGAACTGAGCGATGCTTGCTGTCACATGGTTGATTTGCTTGGTGAGATCACGATGGAATGTCTGGTCCATTTTAGACTGATCTGCCATCCGTTTGGTTGTTACTTTTAATTCATCGGTCACCTGCCCCAATGAAAGGAGGTTGTTATGGATTGTTTTCGCATGCTGGAGTTGGTAAACTTGCAACATCCCTTCGATACAGCTCAGAAGAGCGTTGTAGCTTATGAGAGATGCCTGTATGAGTGGTTCCTTGATGAAGGTCCAATCTCCTTCGCATTATTATCCCTTTATATTATCCCTTTATTTTATTATTTATTTTATTATATTATCCCTTTACGAGGCTCTGGCGAATCGATAATACAATACGGATTTAATAGTTATGGTAGAACCTGGAAATCGCATCTTTATAGTATCCATGAATTACAGCTTAGAATCATCAAAACAATTGTCCCCCCTAAAATCGAACAACAATACCTTATATTGTTTTCCCTAACAAGTTATATAAATTCAGCGGTATTCTGCCTATTGAAGAAAAACTAAAACTTACTTTACTTGTTGTACCGTTCTTAAACACCAGCTTAGAAGTATATATAACCCTAAATTAATTATAGCCAAAACACAAAATATGTATGGAGATCATCAAAATAAGATTATTATTCCTAAATTAATTGATAAACTACCTAAAATTTTAAAGGAAGATGTAAATCCTAAAAATACACATTATAAAAACATACTTTATGAATCAACTAACATAATAACTAATTTAACTAAAAACGAATACTATATACTAATATATATGTACACTATTTGTAATATAATTACTATATTTATATTTCAAAAATATAAAATAATGTTTCCTCCGAACATTCTGTATACCTACTACTCTAACCAGACCTTCACGACAACTCATCCTCGTGTTATTGTCATAGAAGCGAGCGAATTACCTTCTTACTCTAAACAATATTAAAATGCTTACGCTCGAAAGGCGGCGAACTGCAGTGTGCAGAAAAATCTAATGTAAGTTTATGTTACACTCTACTTATGAACTGTGTATAACATGTATTATTGTTGTTGTATAATAAAAATAAAAATAAAAAAGTTTACCTGCGGGGAGCTTGCTGAGTCCGCTGTTGGAGCTTGGTAGGAAGGGCCTGGAGATCTTTTGGTTGGGTGATGGAGTTCCAATGTTTTAATTTCAAGTGTCTCCATAAACTGAGCGATGCTTGCTGTCACATGGTTGATTTGCTTGGTGAGATCACGATGGAATGTCTGGTCCATTTTAGACTGATCTGCCATCCGTTTGGTTGTTACTTTTAATTCATCGGTCACCTGCCCCAATGAAAGGAGGTTGTTATGGATTGTTTTCGCATGCTGGAGTTGGTAAACTTGCAACATCCCTTCGATACAGCTCAGAAGAGCGTTGTAGCTTCTGAGAGATGCCTGTATGAGTGGTTCCTTGATGAAGGTCCAATCTCCTCCGCATTATTATCCCTGTTACGGCCTACGGCTGCTCCCTTAAAGGATCCAATCCTCTGGGGCCCATGAGCAGAAGACTTCCCGAGCAGACGTAGGTAGGGCCTTAATGTGGCCACGTGGAAATTCCTAATTACATTAGAATATATGGGGGAGCGTTCTATACTACGGCCAGTCAACCGGCAGAGGAATTAGGCGAAGCTTACTTACCTATATCCAAGGCGACTGGTCCCTCCGGAGTCGGTCAGGTCACATGTGGTTGTGTAGTGAAAGGGAAATAAGTGATGTGATGTGTATCTGGGTGTGACTGATGGTGATTGAACCTAGACCTTGGCCGTCGGTAACAGCCCGAGCGTCGACACCGCTCCAACTTGAGGGGGCCCTCCGAGGCATCCACAGTCACTTTCCTCTTTCTTCACGATGACAGTCAATTAACTCTATCGTACGATTTACTAACTTACAGAAGCCACTAACTATCGCTGGGTATAATGGTTACCGCACAAACGCACACGGAGTTTAAAGGGTCAAAGGTCACTACCGTTTCGCGTAGCAATAGTTAATTCTAGAATATCAGAGGCCGCACTATCTAATATTGCCGAATGCACTTATGCAGGTTTTGAGTCAGACACAATAAGTCCCGGGAAGCTCTCCAGTAGGAATGTGCGTCACAAAATCCTACACCGTATATTTACGGGCCGCACCTAATTATTCCGAGTTCCCTAACAGAATGGACCGCGTGCTCACGTCAGCACCGATTAAAGACGACTGCCCTTGGGCGTTTTACGCACGACCGAATGTCAAACCGGTATGACACTGAGCCGCACGCCCTCTCGCGTTCGTTCCTTGAAAGTGTTTGGCGCGAACAAACACCCGTCCCGGACATAAGGATTTAGGTCCGCGAGCAAACCGGTCAGCGGGACAAGGTCGCGAAGGCAAGTTGCAAGACCGAATCTACAACCAAACTAGGCCACCTTAGGCACCCCATCAGATCTTGCAACCCTAACCAGCGCATCAAAAAATAGCCCTAATGTGGCAAGTCGGAGGGTCAGCCTCCACTGGATGCCCCTCCTGGGCATCGCAGCACTTTAACAAGTCCTGTACTGGACAGAAGTCCGACGACCTCTTTCAAAACCTATCTGTGCCCCTACGATTAGTTCCGCAATCCGACCGGATCAGGTCTGCAAACAGCGACGCGACACGAAGCGGCCCCGAGCGGCCTCCTAAGCTTCAGTGCAGAGAGCACCCACAAATTCCACATGAACGTCGTCTGTGGAGAGCCGAACGAAACGCACAGATAGTCCCTAGTATGAATTTTCAACAAGTAGGCCTAGCCAGGCCACCCACCATATTATCATTTACTAAAATAGTGCGGCAGCTGATTTCAATCTGATAATCTCCAAAACTAGCTAGCCTGTTAGACAAGTAGTCCTATGCTCATATTTCAACTAATTTTTCAAAAGCATCAATGTTCAACTACAGAATTAATTCAACCAAATTAATCACCGATGCGCATAGGTCAACTTGCAAATTAAACAAAACAATAACGTAAGGGACAGCCCTACTTCTTCGCAAAGCAAAATGATTAAACACTATCATAAACATAAACATAATTTTTCAAATAGTGCGCCATTCACTTTCAGATGAATTCAAATTTTCCTTTCGGCAAACAGACGCAACAATCAAATACAGTGATTAAATATATTTACAAAACACATGCAGTAGCATTTAAAGGAGTAGATTAAATTTAATTCTTTTAATTTAAACCGCTACAAATAGGAAATTTTCGCGGAAAGCCCAAAGCAGTTTTTAATTTTAATTCAAGTATTTTTTTTTTTACTAAGTGCTCGACCAAACCAAATCTAATACCCCTTGACAGCGTGATTCAACGCTCCAGGGGGGCCCTAATCTTCCCACCACCAAGGGGAGGCCACATGGCGTGAACCCGAGATCGATAGAGTGCGACTGCTAACAGTCGCCACACGGGTTGTAAGCCTCACTGAGGACGTCGGCAACAGAACACCTTGACAAGTGGACTGTTGACGGCTCAAGGCCCAGTGGAGGCGGCCGCGGTGGGAGCTAAGGCGGCAGCTAGCAAGGGCCGCCTCCATCAAATGGGGAACAGTGGTACACCAGTCGCGGCCACTCAGCTAACGGGAGTGAGAAGGGTCCAGCGGACCGATGAGTGGCCGTGAAGTTCCTCTCCACACGCTGAGGGGGGGCGATGACACCCCCGCCCCTGGGGGAATTACCCCCCGACCGGTCGGGGGAGGGACCCCTTTCAAACTTAGGGGCCTGATGGCTGGCCGGCGGGCGCCGAGAGTCGCCCGGCAGAGGGCGTGGCTGAGCGCCCCCGCCCGTGGGGGTCGAGGGCCTGGCAGAGCCCCGAGAGGAGACGCCGTTCGCACTCAGGCACAAAACGGCATGATGATTGCCCTGGCAATGCAGACAGGGCCGCCGATGCGGACAGTCTCGCTGGAGGTGTCCTCCCAAACATGAGCAGCACCAGCGGCGGCAGATAGTTCGCCTCGCTGGAACCGGCTTACCTAATAATTTCGGGCACGACGTTACCCGGTGATCAGATGCTCGACAATAGGAGCAGGGGGGGTTGACGACGACTTGCCTGGA